GGGTGGAATGGGTCATTGGGGAGAAAAAGGGACATCTGTAATACTTTAAACAATAATAAAATTTAAAAAAAAAAGAATTGTTGGGCTCAATGGAGGTAGTAATGATGTTCGCTAATTGCTTAAACAAATATTCAAAGTATTTAAACAAAAACAAGTATAATAAAGTCTATGCCTTCGAAATGAACAATTACTTCTGGAGCTATCATTTCCTACTTCGGTGATCTATATAAGTTCTTTTACCTTGCTGGATTTCAGTTGCTTCGATTATAAATTTGGGATATCTACCTAGCAGGGTGGTTGTGAAGATGCAGTGAGAAAATGGATGCAAATACAGTTGGGGGTCTGTGGAGTAAGGAGGATTTATCACTACCAGGTGTATAAGACAATATTCCAGAAATGGAAGAATCATGAGTTCTACAGTATGCCACAACAATAAATGATGATGATGATGATGATGATGATGATGATGATGATGATGATGATGGATGATAGTTAACAATCATTGAGCCCAGCCGGAGTGGCTCAGTTGGGTAAGCATCCTCCCATGCACTGAACGGTTGCCAGTTCGATTCTAGGTCAGGGCACACACCTGGGTTTCAGGTTTGATCCCCAGTCAGAGAATGTACAGAAAGATCAATGTTTTTCTCTCACATTAATGCCTCCCTCTCTGTCTTTCTCTCTGTCTCTCGTTCCCCAAGCATGTCCTCCAGTAATGAATGTCCCCACATTCATTGGTATGTGCCAGGCACTGCTCTAAACACTGTACAATCGCTCAACCTTAACAATCATGTGAAGAAGGTACAATTATTATACACAATTTACACACAGGAAAGTTAGGCTCTGGGACATTAAGAATTGTGTCCAGGATTACACATTTAATAAATGACAAAACCAAGGTTTAGGTGGTTCTGAAGCCTAAGAACACAAAATCTAGATGTGAGCTATCCAATACAGGAGCCAGTAGCCATAAGCCATGTTTCTACTGAGTATTTGAAAACTGACTACTGCAATATGTCAAAATTATAATATTTTTGACATAGTTAAGTAATCTATATTATTAAAATTAATTGCACTTGTTTCTTTTTATTTTTTTAATTTGGCTAGTAGAATATTCAAAATTATATGTAACGCACATTTTATTTCTATTGCACAGTACTGGTCTACAGTAAAAATACATAAATTTGTATCCCAGCTCCACTATTTGCTGTGTCTTCTTAGGAGTGTTACTTAACCTTTCTATATTTCAGTTTCC